CATCAGTTCATATGCTGTGGCTGCTGGTTTGGCTGGGTGATCAGCAATTTGGAAACATGATTGGGAAATTGGTAAGAAGTGGTATATGGAAACACCTCTCTAGAAAAAGATATGTGGAGATATTTGTTTCACTTGTGAATGCTCATCAAATGTTGGTCAGATGTCTTCATTGAGGCCACAAAAACAATTGAGTACCTTCTAAGCACAAACTTCTGGAGGTTGAGAAGTCAAAGATCAAAGTACCATCAGGCTTGGTGCTAGTGAGGGCCAATTTCCTAAATGGTGTCTTTTCACTGTCTTACATGGTACAAGGGGCAACACAGTTGCCTTTTTATGGCCTTAATTCTATTCAGAAGAGCTGTAGCCTCATGATCCAAAAGGCCCTTCCTCCTAACACTATCACTTTAGGGCTTAGGATTTCAAACTGCAAATTTTGGTGGAGGGCATAATAATTCAGACCATAGCATAACAGAGAAAGATTTTAATAACCAGAAGGGGATAGAGGGCCCAGCACAGTAACCTAGTGGCTGAAGTACTCGCCTTGCATGCATTGGGATCCCATATGAGCACCAGTTCACGTCTCGGCAATCCCACTTCCAGTCCAGCTCCCTACGTGTGGCCTGGGAAAGCAGTCGAGGACAGCCCAAAGCCTTGGGACCCTGCACCCATGTGGGAGACCCAGAAGAGCTCCTGGCTCCTGGATTCGGATGAGCGCATTGTGGTCACTTGGGGAGTGAATCATTGGACGGAAGGTCTTTCTCTCTGTCTCTCCTCCTCTATATATATATCTGACTTTCCAATAAAAATAAAATAATTCTTTTTTTTTAAAAGATGGGATAGAAAGAACTGTGGATACCAGTCAGTCTCTTTTTCTAGTCACTCCTGCCATTCCTTAATGGACTCATGAACAAAGATGCCATAGTGGGAGGGACAGATGTTATGCATGGGCTCAGCAACACGGACTCCATTCACCAAGGCTCACCTGGTTACAGCTACAGCTGAGAGCCCAGACTGTCAGTATCTGAGACCAACACTGAGCCCCTAGTATAGCAGCATACTCTAAGGCGGTCAGCCATTTGGTAGGAGGTTGTTATAACTGAACTGTTTCTATCATGGAAGATTAATTCTGTCCTTATTGGACTAGATACTCTCAATACAGATTTGACTTCTCTGCATGCAATATTTCTATCAAAATATCCAAGTGTGGACTTATAAAATGTCTCATCCACTGCTACATGCAGCGCAAGAGAAGTATAAGAGTCAGCCCACACCATTGAGTATAAAATTCACTGGTTTTATCATGAGGAACTGGTTATTCAGAACGGAGAAAAAATCCTTTGAAGGGTTAGTTACAGCACAAGCCTAGTGACATTACCTTACAGGAATGGGCAAGGTTCTCTAGACGGCTGTATATGTTCAGAATCAGCAACCTATTTATGATGATCTTTCTCTGACAGCCACAATCCATGGACCCAGGGAATTAGCTATCCTTAACGTTCTTCTAACAGACTTTAAAAAAAAAAAAGTTTTACTTATTTATTTGAAAGGCAATGTGACACAGAGGGAGAAGGTGAAGAGAAAGAAATCTCACAATACTGAAATGCCACAGTACTGGCACATAACAAAATGGTTGGCTTCCTGTTTCTGTGGCCTAGAGGTCTTAGTCCCAGAAGGGGAAATGCTTCCACTGGACAGTACAACAATTCATTTGAAAAGGAATGAAGCTACTTTGGGCTCCTCATGTTTCTGAATCATTAGGTCAAAGCATCAGCTGCAATGTTTGATGGGATGATGGATCCTCACTGTGCAAGTGGAAACTGGACTACTAGTCCATGGTGGAATTTAGGAAGAATATGTCTTCAATATAGAAGATGCCATAAGGCATCTTAGTATTAATACATCCTAGTCAATGGAAAAACTGCAACAACCTAATCCAGGCAGAAATACGAACGGTCCAGACTCTTCAGGAATGAAGGTTTGTGTCACCACAGCAAGCAAAGAAGCATGATGAGCTGAGGTGTTTGTGAAAGGCAAAACGAACAGAGAAAATATTTATAAATATTACCTATGACTATCAGACCAGCTACAGAAAAAAGTACTACAGATACTGTGAGAATTTTCTTCTTGTTTTATTAAGAATGTGTTTATGTATATCTCAAATATTTTCTTCTTTTATTTTCCCCATGTAATATAATATTATTGACTTTACATCAAAATTTTTAAGTATAGCTTTAAATCACAAAATGTAAATAGTTATTAAGTTACAAGGTATCAAGCAGAAGAATAAATATTACTCATGAACTTTTACCTCTTTGAGAAAGAGGAGAGAGTGTATTTTTGGTTGCATGCACGATAGTGGTGACACGTCAGGCAGAATCATGTCCTTGTCATTGTCTTTACTTGGAGATTAAGTGCAGCACAAGGAGATCTCTACGGGTATTAATTTGACAAAGGATGATTTGTGACAGTTAATTTTATATGTCAACCTGACTGGGTTACAGGATATCCAGGTATTTGGTTAAAATTAATGTCTGGATGTCTCGGTGAGGTGACCAAGTAAAGCATATTGTCCTCCGCAGTTAGAGTGGACCCACTGAGAGAAGAGAAAATTTGTTTCCTCTGCCTGCCTGTATGAGCTATCAATTTCTCCTGTCCTTAACTGGGACCATTAGTGATCTGGTTCTCAGGTCTTTGGATTTAAACTGGATCTACATTACCAGGTTACCAGCTTTCCTGGTTTGTTCACCCTGCAAATGGCAAGCTGGGAATTTTCTGCTTCTGTTAATTTTGTGATTCAAATCCTTATACCCTTATTCATTCATTCTCTCTCTCTCTCTCTTTCTTTCTCTCACCCTGACACACACACACCTCAAAAAGTTAGTGGAAAATGGAATTATAAGATGTTTGCTTTTGTGCAAAAAATGTTTTAAAATTCATCCACAGTTTTCTCTGTACCATGCATTTTCATGAACTTTTGAAAGATTGTACACATAGTTCAATGTAATCTTTCAGGTTTCAGCTCAAATGGCATTTTCTAGAAAAACATTTCCAATTATTTTCTAAGATGGGATCAGAAACACATTTGAAGAGTCCTGGGAACAGTGAGTAGTGAATGAAGCATTTAGGGAATTCATTCCTACCCTCTTTAAAGAAGGGTGCCATTGCTTAGTTCTAGCTAATTTTTGTTGGTAAAAGTATAAATTAGATGTTTCCAGAACATCTGAGTTATCAAGAAAAACCAGAAATCTGGTTGACATGGAAATACTCCATTTGTTAAAAACATAATAAATGTGAAGTTGTAAAAGCAACATTTGAAATAAGTCTATCCCTGAACGCAATTCATGCCATAGTTTGTAATCTGTTTACTACTACCTGAAATTAAATGATTTGTCATCTGCCCTTTTTCATCAGAATGTAAACTCCATATGGGACTGTATCTATCTGTTCAACTCTGTTCCTGGTGCCTGGGACATTGCGTCACACATAAGAGACACTTATGAAGAATTAGTATTACAAACATTTCAAGCGTGAAAATACAATAGATGAAATAATATAGTGAACTCTATGTATCATTACCCAACTCACTAATTATCAGCAGTGTATAATTTTTGCTTAACTTATTTGTACTATTAGCCTTTAACTTTAGCATTTTTTTGTAGTATATATATATATACTACATATACTATATATACTATATATATATATATAGTTTTTATTTCACTCGAAATCCTCCCTTCCTTGGGAAGTTCCAGAGCTTCCACAGGACAGCGTCTTCCAGAGAGCAGCCATTACAGGAAGCTAACTTTAGCATTTTAAAGAAAATCCCACATATAGTATTACTTCAAACCATAAAGCTTCAGTATGCTGGAAGAGGTTTTAAAAAGCATAACAATTATAATTTTATTGTTTAACAATTATAAATGCCATATAATACTCATAACAGATTGATATTTTCTCAAGTGTCACATGGTATCTTAATTAATATTTATTGAAGAAATAAATTATAAAGAAATGAATATAGTAAGCAAATTTTTCAAAGCCTTGAAACATGATCTTCCTTATTAGAAACATTAGGATCACTTGTCAGAAGAGCCTTGGTTTTCAAATTTGAAAAGGTGGAGAATTGATTGGTTGAGCAAGTACTGTTATAGCCATACAGATTAAATCTAAGAGTAAAATTCCATAGTGGATATTTACCCAAGAAAAATGAAGACATATCTTTGTACAAATACTTGGACAACAATATTTGTAGCAATAGCTAAGCACTGGAAACAACTTAGATATATAGCAACCATTGAATGGCTAACACAAATTATCATATAGCCACATAATATAGTACTACTCAGCAATAAAGGGAATGAAATATGCAACAATATGGATGAATCTCAAAAAAAATTATGCTGAATAAAAGAAGCCAGATACAGAGTACATACTGTATGATTGCAATAATTTAAAAATCCTAGAATGGGCAAAACCTATCCACAACTGAAAAAGATCAGAATAGTGATTATATGTGTTGGGGAAGCATTAACTGGAAAGGGGCATGGCAGAATTTTGGGGGGGAGGGGTAAGGGTAATTTTTTTATAGGGGTTTGCTTACATAAATGTGTACATTTTTCAAAACATACTGAATTATACACTTATGATGTATAGATGTTTATATGTAAATTTTTTATCAAAATGACAAAATATTTAGAAAGATGTGTGCTTACATTGAAATGCACCAAAAGAGTTAATATGGTTTAATGGAAGCTGGACACAGGGGTGGAAATGTGAACACATACATGACAAAGCAAATAGCAAAATGTTAGTGATAGAATCCATTGTGTCTACAATCTTTGAATTTTATTTGAAGTTGAACATTTTTATAAGAAAACAAAAACTTCCTAGTGGGCTTCCAAATATGAGATTTTGGGGGCAGGAGCTAGCCTGACAACACACGTGACTTAATTTGAAATCCCTGATAAACTGCTTCTCTAATTGATTTTGGGTGAACTGACCTCCACTCCCGGTTCTTGTGTAAACTGGTAGCTTCTTGGCCATATCAAAAAGCATCTGCTTCTGGACTTCAGGTCTCTCTTCATTTTCATAGCGTTCCTTATCTGTATAAGACAAGTGGAACTGGAACCAGAAGTGATAGACAAGACATTATTTTTCAAGGTTCACAGAAAGAATTAAAAACAACAGTAACCACTTAACTGAAAATTTGTAACCTACCCTTGTGATACTCAGAGATAATTTGAGCTTGTAACTTTTTTTAAGATTTATTTATTTTTATTGCAAAGTCAGATATGTATAGAGAGGAGGAGAGACAGAGAAGATCTTCTATCCGATGATTCACTCCCCAAGTGATGGCAATGGCGGGAGCTGAACGGATCCGGAGCCAGAAACCAAGAGCCTCTTCTAGGTATCCCACACGGGTGCAGGGTCCCAAAGCTTTGGGCCGTCCTCAACTGCTTTCTCAAGCCACAAGCAGGGAGCTGGATGGGAAGTGGTGCTGCCAGGATTAGAACCGGCGCCCATATGGGATCCCGGCGCGTGCAAGGTGGGGACTTTAGCCACTAGGCTACCATGCTGGGTCTGAGCTTGTAATTTCTCTGGCTAAGTATTTCAGTGATTAAATCTGGCTTTTATCACTACTTTATAAAATCGATAGCACTGTTTTATATGTAAAAAAAAAAAGATTAAGCAGCTTGTCTAAGGTTGTATACACTTAATTATCTCTTTTGAGCTAAAATTCACATAAAATCTCATTGTAAAGCCTACATTTCACAGTGCACAATTCAGTATTTAGTATATTCAAACTGTTGTGTGACAACTATCACTTCCAATTTTCAGGACATTCTTATAAACCATTAAAAAACCCCATGCCCACTAAGCAGTCATTCCTCATTCTCATTACACAGACCCTAGCGACCCCTAATCTATTTTCTGTCTCTATGGATTTGCCTCTTTAGATATTGTATATGTATTTAATTGGAGTTATGTGGCTTTTGGTGCCTGTAGCATTTCAATTAGCATAATGCTTTCAAGGTTCATTTATGCTATAGCATATATCATACTGCATTTTATGGACGACTAATATTCTATTTTCCATAATATACCATATTTACTGTATTCATATATCCATTGATGGACATTGGGGTTGGTTCCATCTTTGGCTTATAGTAAACAGTGCTGCTATGAACGGTTGTGTATAAGCATTTGTCTGAATGCCTGTTCAATTTCTTCACATATATACTTAGGAATGAAACTTCCAGGTCACATGGAATGATATTTTAAACTTTATGAGGAACTGTATAATTGCTTTCTATGCCAGCTATACCACTTTATATTTCCAGGATCGGTGTATGAGGGCTCTGATTTCTTCGCATCCACCAACATTTGCTATTTATCATTCATTCATTTATTCATTCCCTCATTCAGTTTTGATCATTCTAGTAGATATCAAGAGGCATCTCATTCTTGTCTAATCACTAAAAATTAACATTTTTTCTTGCATTTCTTGGCAATTTTTACACACTCTGGAGAAATATCCATTCAAGTCCTTCACTCATTTTTATTTGCCTCATTTTTTGTTGTTGGTTCTATGCCTTTTTCTGTTATATTATTTTTTATTGATTACATTGCATTATGTGACACTGTCTCATAGTATTTGCCTGATCTTTAAAACTGGATTGTCTTTTGTTGCTGAGTTGTAAGAATATATATTCAAGAGTACCAAAGCTATGGAATAGCGGGCTAAGTGTCTGCCTGCAGAACCAGCACTTCATATAGGAGCCAGATAAACTCCTGGCTGCTCCACTTCCTATCTAGCTCTCTGCTTTCCACCTGGAAAAGCAGTAGAAGATGGACCAAGTGCTTGGGCCCCGGCACATTTGTGGAAGATCCAGAATAAGCTCCTGGCTCTTGGCTTCAGAATGACCGTTTGGAAAATCTCTGTTGCTCCTCTTTTCATTAACACCACTTCTCAAATAAAATAAATTTTTTTTTGAAAGAAGGAATATTTAGTCAAAACATAGGAAACATCAGATACATGATATAAATATTTCCTTCCATTTATCAGGCAGTCTTGTGAATTTCTTGATGGAGTTTGACATACAAAAGTCTAAAATGTGTTTTATTTTTTCTTTTGGTGCTTGTACAATTTCGCTATACTTTCATCAATAGTTGCTATTTTGATTTTTAATAGTGACATTTTAATGAGTGTGAGGTGATAATATCTCATCATGGTTTTTACTTTCATTTCTGTAATAATTAGTGATGATCAATACTCTTTTGTATGCAAATGGTCATTTGCATATCTTCCTTGCAATAATATCTACTCAGGACCTTTGCCCATGTTTTACCAGACTATTAGTTTTCTTCTTGAGTTGTAGTTTATATTCTGGAGATTAATCCCTTATCAGATATATAATTTGCACATACCTTCTCCCACTCATTTTGTCATTTGTGCCCTTTGATGCACAGAAAGCTTACATGTTCATGTAATCTCCAATTTATCAATTCTTTGTTGCCATTATAGTTTTGATGTCACAAACAAGAAATCATCACCAAATCCATTGTCATAAGTTTTTCCTTATGTTTTCTTATAAATTTTTATAGTCCTAATTTTTACACATCCCTATGTGCCTTTTTAAAGCGGAAATACCATGCTACTTTTTTAAAAAAAGAGTTATTCATTTTTATTACAAAGTCAGATAGTCAGATATACAGAGAGGAAAGACAGAGAGGAAGATCTTCCATCCAATGATTCACTCCCCAAGTGAGCGCAACGGCCGATGCTATGCCAATCTGAAGCCGGGAACCTGGAACCTCTTCTGGATCTCCCACGCGGGTGCAGGGTCCCAAGGCTTTGGGCCATCCTCGACTGCTTTCCCAGGCCACAAGCAGGGATCTGGATGGGAAGTGGAGCTGCCGGGATTAGAACCGGCGCCCATATGGGTTCCCAGTACATGCAAGGTGAGGACTTTAACCACTATGCTATCGCCCCAGACCCGTGGCATTTTATATTTTTAGGAACTACAGTATTGTACTAATATAGGTTAAAATAATGTGGCGGTTGGGGGACAGTTTAGGAAGGGGGATAACAGAAATCCCAGAGCCTACAGAACTGTATCATAAAATAATAATAATAAGGCCTGGTGCAGTAGCCTAGTGGCTAGAGTCCTTGCCTTGCATTCTCCGGGAACCCATAGGGGCACTGGTTAATGTCTCGGCTGCTCCCCTTCCCATCCAGCTCCCTGCTTGTGTCCAGATAGAGCAGTTGAGGACAGCCCAAAGACTTGGTACTCTGCACCCTCATGGGAGACCTGGAGGAAGAGCTCCGGCTCCTGGCTTTGGATCGGCGCAGCACCGGCCATTGCCATTACTTGGGGAGTGAATCATAGGATGGAAGATCTTCCTCTCTGTATATCTGACTTTGCAATTAAAACAAAATAAAACTTTTAAAAAAGAGAGAGAAACATATACTATTAAAAAAAAACTATGGCTGGGTTTCAAAATTTTCTGCACCAAAATAAGATAGTTTTTAATTCTGTTTCTCCTGAACTTTTTAAAGTCCATATATATGGTCAATACTGGAGAACGTTCCATGTGCACTTGGGAACCATGTGCATTCTGCTGATTTTCGGTGTGTTACATGTAGCCAGCTTAGTCTTGTTCAAGTCTTCTATTTTGTATTGATCTTCTGTCTAGTTGCGTTATCAGTTATTGAAAATGGAATACTGAAGTCTCTGTTATCATACAATTGTGTACATGTTCCATTCATGTTTCCTAGTTTTTCTTTTTTAAAAGATTTTTTCATTTTTATTGGAAATGCAGATTTATACAGAGAAGCAGAGACAGAGAAAAATAGCTTCCATTCACTGCTTCCCTCCCCAAATGGCGACAACAGCCGGAGCTGAGCCGATCCGAAACCAGGAGCCAGAATCCCAAGGCTTTTGGCCATTCCCCTGCTGCTTTCCCAGCCAGGAACTGTATGGGAAGTGGGGCAGCCAGGATAATGGACTGACGCCCATAGGATACTTACAAGGCAAGTATCAAGCCAGGCCCACATTCTGTGAATCTTAACCTTTTAATTGGTTAGTTTAATCAAGCAATTTCATTAGGAAAAAAAAATGTTTGCTACTTTGCTCTTTGTTTTCTTTTTATCTTATATCTGTTATGTTGTCCAATGCCTGCATTACTGCCTTTCTCCGTATTTAATTTTATTTTCTTGTTTACCGTTTTAAATACATCAAGGTTGCAGTATTTTCGTTTGTACTAGTGGTCTTTGAAATATTAACTGAAAATATGTATTACAAAGAAGCTATAGACAGATCACCAAAGTTTTTTGTAGACAAATAAATTTATCTTTCAAGTTCATTTCCTCGCACTTTTTGAAGTCTGTTCATATTTGGAAGATGGTAGCATCTCTGCTACTGCTTTATTTCTACCATGGAAGCTAATCTGGTTTAGAGTAGTTACACATTATAATGAGATGACCACAAATTATTTCACCAACTCTTCCAAAGTTGACTGAAACACTTTTTTAAAAGATTTTTAAAATTTTTGTTGGAAAGGCAGATATACAGAGAAGAGAAGAGAGAGGAAGATCTTCCGTCCAATGGTTCACCCCCCAAGTGGCCACAACGGCTGGATCGCATCCGATCCGAAGCCAGGAGCCAGGAGATTCTTCAGGGTCTCCCACGCGAGTGCAGGCTTTGGCTGTCCTCAACTCTTTCCCAGGTCACAAGCAGAGAGCTGGATGGGAAGCAGGGCCGCTGGGATTAGAACTGGCATCCATATGGGATCCATCCAGCGCGTTCAAGGCTAGGACTATGCTATCATGCCAGGCCCAACTGAAACATTTGATTCAAGAGAACTATTCAAATTTCAAAATAACTGGTTAAACTATTGAATTATTTTTTTCCTCAATTTGTCTTCCAGAACCTAGATAACAAAATTACAGTTTCCATAAAATTGATCTAGATAAGACTTCAGAATCCAAGGTTTGGGTTTTTTTTTGTTGTTGTTTGTTTGCTTGTTTTTCTAATTATTTCACCAATGCAGGTAGTGGTTTCCTTGCCTTACAGATTGCCAAGACTGCTGATTTCACAAACTCGTTCAAAAGCGTATTTTAAGTTCACCTTGATCACTAACAGTTCTTTAAACCCTCTTTGATAACAGGAAGGGTTTTTTTTTCTTCCTTTATAGGCATATCTATTTTCCTCTAATTCCTAGTTTGAGTAAGTGAACAATATTCTTACCTTCTGGTTTGGTTGCTGTGGGAGTGTAAAGATAGATTTCCAATAGGTCCAAGCAAAGAAAACAAATATGGCATGGTAAAGTATGAGGTAGATAACTGAAATGTAAACAAAAAAAAAATCAGTGTTTACACCACACTATCATTCTATCCATTTCTAAGAGTTCAAAACAACAAAGCACAATGACAAATATCTATTTTGTTTTCCTATTACCACATATTCTCTAGTATTATTATTAAATTTTAATTCTTACAATTGGTACATGTAGTGAGAGAGACACAGTATATATGCTGAATTTTGAACTAGAAACTTTCTGAACATTATATGCCTTCAAAGTTGCTGTGTGATCCTGAGAATAAAGTGGAAAATGTCCTTAATTACAATGCAGGGGAAATTACTTTAGTCAGTTGTCATTATTTCTGCCTCCATAGATGCTGAAATGTGATATAATTTGCACAACACTTTAGAGTTTACAGCATACTTATATATCATTTTATTTTCTCGATAATTTTGTGAGTGATGCAATAGGATAGGATTAGTTGATTAACAATAAAAGGTAAATAACTAACCAAAAGTTACACAGCTAGTTGATAATGTAGTGAGTTAAATATTTAACTTCTGCCTTTAAACCTATTTTTTTTTCAGTGACCTCAAAGACTATACACTTTGAAGTGTGAGTTATATCTTTGAAACAGTTGTACAAGGGCCCCCCTTTCATACCTTTCATACTCTGCCTCTTGTATAACCCTTCTGATATGGAGGATTTGGGTGATATGATTGAGTTCATTGTTTAACTCTGAATTTTTGAATGGCATAGTCTTATTAATCCATCAGAAAGACTCAAGGGAATGATATGACTGGAGATCAAGTTAATAAGGCTGAGTCCCTTGTGTATTTATGACTGTACTGGAAAAAAAAAGTATTACTCTCTTTATCCCATGGAATAAGATTCTTAGATATAGTTGGCTTTTGTATGAAATCCGATTTTAAAATTAAAGCATGTGAAGCAAAAGGTAATGTCTGCCCCCAACATACACATGTCACTGCTCATCTCCCCATCCTAACATACACACTTTGGTGTTTGGTGTATATTATGACAGATATTCTTGTTTTTATATACTTATATAATAAATACAGGGTTTTGTAATATTTAACTCTTTTTATTGTATTCCTTTTACATATTTTTTTAAGGTTTATGGTACAATTCCGTAGAGTGTGGGATTCCCTATCCCTCAAATTCCCACTCCTGACTGATCTTCCCAGTGTATACATATTGTTACAGTAGTATAGTCCTTAAGGAGTCATAAGTTCCATCAGTCTGTTATTTAACCTTGCCACGACATTGTCAGACAGTTCAGTATCCCAATGTGTACATATATGTCCAACAATTTCATTGGGAGTCCGTCTTTGATTTGGAAGTAGGGATGTTTACTGCAATATATCTTCACATCTGGATATAGTAGTCTCTATTACTCCATCACTATCATTGTATTGCTTTTAAGAAGTAATATATTCATAAGCTTCGAACTCTGAAGATATAATAATATATTGTGAAGCAAAATTCCATATTCTCTTGGCCACCCAGATCCCTACCTTGGAAGTAAGCAATGTCACAAAGGTATGACTTTACAGTGTAGCTTTTCAGATTTTATACACATCAAATCACCCAAATAGTGCACTTACACAGGTAATATCATTCTACACACACTTTTTTGTACCTTCTTTTTCACTTACCCTAAGTTGATGATCATTTCACTTAATTTAACTTGGAGTGGGAAAGCTTATTAACTCTCCTTCAAAATTGCTGCATGGAATTTTATTGCATGAATGTACTATAATTTCACCCGACTATTCTGAAAATGTAGTTTGTTCTCCTTTCTCTTACTAATGCAAATAACATTTCAATGAATAATTTATATATGAGGACACTTCAAAAAGTTCATGGAAATAAAATTTAGGTTTATTTTGGTATAAAAATGAAATCCATGCAGTTTTTTTAAAAAAATAAACACGTTTCATGAGGTTTTAAGAACGTTTGTTATGTAATCAACAGATGAACAAAGAATAGGTGTAAGATCAATTCGCTAAAGTGGAACGCCAGGTCAAAAGGTATGCCCTTTGGTAGATATTGATAAACTGTCATTAAGAAATGTTGTAGGGGATCCAGGACCTGGGGAGGGTGGGAAATTGGGTGGTCCTTCTCCCTTGAAACCCCCCTTTAAACATGAAGGAAACAATTTGGGAAAAATAATAGTCTTACCCACTTTCCTGTAGCTCTTGGACCTTTGTACCCTAATTAACTATGTAAAGATTGTGTAAAAAAAAAAATGTTGTAGGGGGCCCAGCGCGGTGGCCTAGTTGCTAAGGTCCTCGCCTTGAACGTGCTAGGAACCCATATGGGTGCTGGTTCTAACCCCGGCAACTCCGCTTCCCATCCAGCTCCCTGCTTGTGGCCTGGGAAAGCAGTCGAGGATGGACCAAAGCCTTGGGACCCTGCACCCATGTGGGAGATCTGGAAGAAGCTCCTGGCTCTTGGCTTTGGATTGGCTCAGCTCCAGCCATTGTGGCCACTTGAGGAGTGAGCATTGAACAAAAGATCTTCCTCTCTGTCTCTCCTCTTCTCTCTATATATCTGACTTTCCAATAAAAATAAATAAATCTTTAAAATTAAAAAAAAAAAAAGAAATGTTGTAGGGCCCGGCATGTTGGCCTAGTGGTTAAAGTCCTCACCTTGAAAGTGCTGGGATCCCATATGGGTGCCAGTTCTAATCCCGGCAGCCATGCCTCCCATCCAGCTCCCTGCTTGTGGCCTGGGAAAGCAGTCGAGGACGGCCCAAAGTCTTGGAACCACTTGGGGAGTGAATCATCAGATGGAAGATCTTCCTCTCTGTCTCTCCTCCTCTCTGTATATCTGACTTGACAATAAAAATTTTTAAAAAATCTTTTAAAAAAAGAAATGTAAACTAAGTAGCAAAATATTGGCCTTATGCCTGTTGATGAAGGGACTATACTATTGTAATAATATGGGGAAAACAGTGTTGGGGAGTATAGGTTGGGAAGAAGGGAAGGTGGAGGAGAAACTCCCTACTTATAAAGCCATATCATGGAAAATAATGATAATAATAAAAAGTTGTACTTGACTTGCATTTTCATTATCAGATCTGTCAGAGTGCCTCTTCCTCCAGAGTCTAACTTTTGTGAACTGTTAGAATATTTTAATTTTAGGTAAGACCTTTATATTGTTTCTTTATATGTTAATACTTGCTAAGATTTTTTTCTTTGATTTTTTTTTTTGAATTTTACACAGGAAAAATTTTATGACTAAGTGAGAGGGGGTTATAACAGCATTTTACATTGGATTCCTTCAGTATGTAATGGAAATATGGAAACTTTAAAGAGATAAGGAAAAATTATTTTATATTTACCCCTTCGTTATGCACATTAATGGTAACGAAATGAACCAATTTGGATCACCTAAGACCTAAACCCTTATGTTTTGCAGTATGTTAAGTGTATTAACTACTCCAAGGATCTTTACCTTATTTTTTTCTTAATCCCAGTGATTGAGATAAGAAGTGTGGGGCTTTAACTAAGTGCAGGTCTTACTACACATTAATTACTGGCTTAAGCCTGTAACTGCAATCAGCTGGGTTCCATTCCTGTGCTCTAGGGTTTCATAAAAGTTATGATGGAGGTGAGTGGATCTTGAGGTTAAATGAGTAAGTGAAGATCGTTCAGTAGATTGGCAGAGCACAAACTAAACTGCCGATTTCATGAAAATCATTGAGTTAAGTAAAACTTCAGAAATCACCTACTATAACCTCATTTTTCAGAGAGGTAATTGAGGCCCAGAGAAGGTAATTGGTTTGATAAGGACTACCAAACAAAGTTATGGAAGCAATGGAGCCTGAACCAAAGTTTCTGCACTCCCAGCCAAAAGCTCTGTTCTTTAAAACACTTTTTCTCAAATTTTCGACTGCCTCAAAAATTGAATACATGCATATTGCCAAGCCTTTTGCCAAAGAATCTTAATCAGTGTCCCGAAATGGAGTCCAGGAATCCAGAAACTCTTTCAACAAATTCTGAGATAAATGACTCATGAGAAACAAAAAGCTAAGAAGAGGTCAAGTTCTTGTCTAGGCTATTATCCTAATGAGGATGGTTTCCTCCAGCATCCCCAGCAGGTAATTCAATCATTTCTGCTGATAGCTGAAGTGAGTATTCTTGATCTAGAGAAAGGCTTCATGAAGCCCCCAATGTGTGTACTTCTATTCCTTTTCTGCCTTAAAAACCTGCAACATATTTCTTTATAATAACTTTTGTTACCTAGGCTAGTCATCCCTTTAAGTGTAGACAAGTGATGTTCTCGTAAGGTCTCAGATCACTAGAGAAATTCAAACACTGAACCGTGTCCTTGAATTGCCACTACTCATTGACACTGGAATAAAATGAAAAACACCTTCATAAGTAAACAAGCAAAGCAGAGCCCTTCACTCATGTGGCAGTGATTAGAGCTAAAAGTCAAAGGCCTTTCAAGTGGTGTTTTTCTTTTCTTCCATAGGTGCAAAGGTTTGCAGGAAGAGCAGAATTGAGCCATTAAGAACATGGCCACCCGCTAAGGAAAAAATCTGTCTAACTATACAGTTATTTTGAACTTAGTTACTGCATTGCGATGTTAATATTCCATTATGGAAATAGCTTCTTAAATGAGAATGATTACTTTAGGTTTTATTCTGAAATAATGATTCATAAACAACTTGGTAAAAATTATGGAATCTGAAATTACATGGTGGAGGTAGTAAAAGTGGTTATTAGCAACATCTTTGGTCAGCAGGATGCCTTTCTAGCTGTTGTTCCCAGGGACTAGTAGGAAATGAGTGATTTCATACATGTGCATGTGTCACAATTGAAAACACTTTCTTTTGAGAACAAGAATGAATGTACTAGTAAGACATGCATCAAAGTGGGGAAGAGGGAAAAATAATGCAGCTTTAATATATATAGGTTAGGAATATATGTGTATGTATGTGTATACATATAAATTTTTATATATATAAAATAGATAAGTACTAAGGCTGTTATGACAATTATACAACATACATACCTCTTTTCTTTAAGAGCTATTGTTAGAAACCATGTTTGACTTTAAGACACTGTTTTTGTAATATCTTTTCTATCAACTGATGACTAAAAGCATTAGGATTGGGATAATGGATAAGGGGGAGTACCCTGTAACTACACAGTAATTCACAGAGCTACAGCAACCATAGCATTATCCATTGAAAGATTCCTCACTAAAATTCCTATTTGGGCTCAGGACAGAAGTGTCTAGATGCTGATAAAGGAGAAATTTGTCTGCTTGGACAATCACATCTCCTTTAAAGCAGAACACTTATCACTGAAGTGCTGGATTCTAATACATGAGTTCACGGTCCTATCCTACTGCACTTTCACTGATTTAAAAAAATCTTTATTTTTTAAGACATATTTATTTTTATCAGAAAGATTTATACAGAGAAGTAGAGACCAAGAGAAACATCTCCTATCTGCTACTTTACTGCCCAAATGTCCACCACGGCTGAAGCTGAGCCGATTCGAAACCAGGAGCCAGGAGCTTCTTTCAGATCTCCCATGTGGATGCAGGGTCCCAGGACTTTGGGCCATTTTCTGCTTCTTTCCCAGGCCACAGGCAGGGAGCTGGCAGAGAAGCAGCCAGCAAAGGAACCAGTACTTTATGGAATCCTGGAGCTTGCAAGGCAAGGATTTAGCCACTAAGCCATCATGCTGGGCCCTGATTTAAAAATTCTGATGAAAGCTAGACCTCATCTCTTAGCTACCTGAATGGGGTAAGAGATCTGTAAGCTACACAAGGGTCTAAATCTAATTCATGACAATACAGAAATTGTTCAACAGTTGTTTCCATAATGTAGACTCCCTGTGGAATTCAATATTGTCTTGACTTGTTTCCAAGGTTTAGCAAGGAGTTACTCCCTAGGAATCTCTCTGATGGTGAGCTCAAAACCTGATGCCAATGGTGGCATTATGTTTTGAAAGGGCATATTCTTATTCACTGCTACCGATTTCAAAAATTAGGGTTGTTAGCAAATAGCTCACCTCATACACTTGGGAATACATAATACGTTACTGTAAACTATAATCTCTGTACGGTGCATACAACACTGGAAATACTTGTAACTTTTATACCCATTGACTAACATCGCCCCATATTCTATGCCTAACTCTCCCCAGCTTTCTATAACCACGATTTAAAAGCCAAGTTTGGGACTAAGAGTGATAGTCTAGCGGCTAAATCCTTGTTTTACATGTGCTGGGATCCCATATGGGCACCGGTTCATGTCCTGGCTGCTGTACTTTTCATCTAACTCCCTGCCTGTGGCCTGGGAAAGGAGTGGAGGACGGCCCAAAGCCTTGGGACCCTGCACCCACATGGAAGACCTAGATGAAGCTCCTGGCTCCTGGCTTTGCATTGAGTTTAGCTCCGTACGTTGCGTTCACTTGAGGAATGAACCAGTGGATAGAAGATTTTTGTCTCTCCTTCTGTCTGTAAAATCTGCCTTTTCAATAAAAACAAATAAATATTTTTAAAAAGCCAAATGTGGGGGGCTGGAATTGTTGCACAGGCTAAGTCACTGCCTATTACATTCCATAAAGGTGCTACTGACATCCGGCCTGCAGATGACCTGCCATGGGATTTTGCAGTTTGCCATAATCGCATGAGTCAATTATTCTCATAATCCACCTCCATGTATCTATATACATATTCTATAGATTCTGTTTCTATGTAAAATGCTAATACATGTGTATATACACATATATTGTGCTAAAATCAAACTTTTTCATTTTTTTAAGATTTATTTATTTTTATTGGAAAGTAAGATACAGAGAGGAGGAGAGACAGAGAGGAAGATCCTCCATTCGCTGATTCACTCTCCAAGAGGCTGTAACACCCAGAACTGAGCCAATCAGAAGCCAGGAGCCAGGAGCTTCTTCCAGGTCTCCCACACTGGTGCAGGGTCGCAAGCCTTGGACCATCTTTGACTGCCCTCTGAAGCCATACACAGGGAGCTGGATGGGAAGTGGGGCCGCCAGGATTAGAACTGGCACCCGTATGGGATTCCGGCACGCGCAAGGTGAGGACCCCAGCCACCTGGCTATCATGCCAAGCCCTAAAATTAAGCTTTTAAAATTCCATTTTTCATGAGTTTTTAAAGTATCCTCATAGTCAAATAACCTGAAACAAGCAGCAGCATGTTGGGAAGGGCGAAGGAACATGGAAACTGCAGTCCAGCACACTGGGGGCAGATCAGCTAAAGCACGGGAGAATCGGAGATTTAAAATGGTACTACAGATGTTGCTGGTTTCAAACTACACTACACTATTAAAGAAGCATAAAATACAGTATATGCCTGCCAAGAGGAAATCCTAGTGTACTACTGAAACTGTTGCAGGTGTTTGGGGTGTGAACCAGCAGAGAGATGGAAGATCTTGATCCCCTTCTCTCTGTTCCTCCTTCACTCTCTGTCATTCTTATAAAAAATCACACTGTGGTAACAATCTCCTAGAAAACTCAAATCATGGTAAGTAAACTGATGCTTCCAGGAATCAGTTGAACTGGGTGCAGTTTACAAATGACACTTCACACTGGCACAATTAAGTTCAGTAACACAGCAAAAAATAAAGATGTGGAATTTTGAACATCAAATTTTAAGTAAAGAGTATAGCTAGGCAAGCCTAGGAGTGGTCAACTAAAAAGAAAAATAAAACTGCAGATTTGGGCCAGGCGCCATAGCTCAGCAGATAAAGTCCTCGCTTTGAACTCGCTGGGATCCCATATGGGTTCCAGTTCTAACCTTGACAGCCCTGCTTCCCATTCAGCTCCCTGCTTGTGGCCTAGGAAAGCAGTTGAGGACGGCCCAAAGCCTTGGGACCCTGCACCTGTGCGGGAGATCCCGAAGAGGCTCCTGGCTCCTGGCTTCGGATTGGCTCAGTTCCGGCTGTTGCAGCCACTCGGGGAGTGAACCATTGGATGGAAGATGTTCCTCTCTGTCTCTCCTCCTCTTTGTGTATCTGATTTTCCAATAAATATAAATAAATCTTACAAAAAAACCCTGCAAGTTTGCTTGAGAGTATGCAAGGCATGAGTTTGAATCAAACACTTACCACCTAGATAACCTAGCATAGACTAATTAACCTAAGTTTCGGTTTCTTTAGAAGATGGACACAAGAGTATCTACAGCACTGTGTTAATGCAAATAGTGAAAGACACAATCTATGTGTAATATTTAGCAGGATACCTGGCACAATAAATTGTAGTTTCCAAAAATAAAATGATATTTTTGCCATTATTCTTATTGTGATGGAGTGTCATCTAAGTCTCCACCCACCTTATTTTGCAAGTTTTTGTGGCAATATATATTTATGATTTTCTAAAGACGTTGGGCCTGGCGCAAGTCCTCGCCTTGAATACTCCGGGATCTCATATGGGCGCTGGTTCTAATCCTGACAGCTCCACTTCCCATCCAGCTCCCTGCTTGTGGCCTGGGAAAGCAGTCGAGGATGGCCCAAAGCCTTGGGATCCTGCATCCACGTGGGAGACCTGGAGGAAGCTCCTGGCTCCTGGCTTCGGATCGGCTCAGCTCCGGTCATTGCAGTCACTTGGGGAGTAAATCATCAGATGGAAGATCTTCCTCTCTGTCTCTGCTTCCCCTTCTCTCTGTATATCTGACTTTGCAATAAAAATAAAGTAAATCTTAAAAAAAAAAAAGTTATACACAGAGTAAAATAAAAGATGGTCTCCATACACTAAAAACCATGTATGAGAATAAAAGACAACTTAAAGGCTAGTTGTAATGTTATAACTCATCAGGATGTGATGTGTTTACATCTGTATTGAGTGATTTATATGCATTAACACATTATTCATAACAATGAAGTAGGTAGTATTCTTTCTATTCTACACATGAGCATGAGGATATAAAATAATTCACCAGGAAGCAAAAGAGCCAGTATTTGAATTCAGAGAGTTTGGCTCCCAAACCCATACTTTTAATTACTGTGCTCTCAGGTCACTCTACTCGATTTCCTCGCAGCCAATGCCTCTGTTGAGTGGTAACAAACCGGAGTTTCAGAATGGCATATTATGAATGCTAGACAGGTTTATGAATTACAGCAATCAATTTGCATGAAGTGAGGATGAAAAATGCTAAAGAGGTTGCACACATAACCATGGCTATTATCAATAAAACAAAATAAAGCTAAAGGATTTTTAGGACTCATGTCCTACTTTGACTCTTTAAAATGGAAAATATCTCGACCTCTTTAGAAAGTTAGATATAAACTGTAGGTTATGCCAAAGATGGTGGTGAGGAATGGTGAGGAGATCAGTAAACACGCTGGGACTATGATGGTGAAGGATTTAACTATTAAATTCCGCTGTGGGGCCCTTCCTCCAAACCTGTGATACAGATGGACTGAGCACAAAGGCCAGGTGCTTAGAGTAGCAAAGAGAACCTGCATCATTTTGGCAGAGTACTCACCTTTTCTATCTTAAATTCTGGTAATTTCCCATCTCTGTCCTGTACTCGAAGGAGCCACTGAAATTATGTTCTGCTTCATCTTTGGGTAAGGCTCCTAAAAACTGTTATTCTAAACTTTCCACTTAGCTAAGTATACAGTTTACAATATCCTCTTACCTTTTTCTGCTGGGCTCAAAACAGTCACTGTGAAGAGAAAGAGATTTAAAAATATATTAACTAATTTTTCCACATAATCATTTTGAATAATTTATACAATCGTGCTTAAGGATATCACTTCCTAATAGGAAGGAATGCAAGAATGACTAAATTCCATCAATACCTATTTTTCTTCAGTAATTAAGCATTGCTGTTAATTCAACAAATGGAGATTTGAACCCATTTAAAAATAATTCAACAAGTGGAAACACTCAAGGATATAACATAATAGTAAGAATTCAGAGATGATTATTTACTTTCCTAAAGTATTCTTTGCAGGATGCCATTAAACATTAAGCTTCTCTTGTATATGTGGACAGTGTCAATATTACATGCCAGCTCTGAAGTCGGACTGGGTTAGAAGCTCAGTTGCACTATTTTGTGATCCTGGGTATCTTCTTTAACTTTCCTAACAGTATCTTCATCTCAAGGTTACTGAAAATTGAGTTAATGAATACACATGCTGCTTAGCAAAGGATCTAGAAAAGGGCAAGTACTTGATGAATAAAAAGATCTCATCTCACAGAGCATCAGAACTGGAAATGACCTTTACAGTTATCTGGCTTATTTTATTGTATAGAAATATAAAATTGGACTGGTATGAATAGTATCAGACAATTTATCTTAGAGGACTTAGAGGTTAGTTGGGGCTAGATGCCATTCTCTAGGGCTTTGTCAATGTACTCAGGTCTGCCTCTCCCAATCATTTTTTGCTGGCTAACTGCAATATATATTATGCACCATATACGTATAAATGTACATGCATGTGTGTTGCAAAAATGTTTTTAATTCATGCATACAAAGAACATTCAAAAAATTAATGGAAAATGTATATGAAAAAATTCATGGATTTCAGGTTTTTGCAATAAAATAAAATAAAAATTGTTTTCCAAGAACTTTTTGAACTGCCCCCGTGTGCTATACGTGTGTAGGTGTAAAGCTTTTGTTAAGTGGAATCTGTTCAAAGTGAAGCGTATGTGTCTTTACTCACCACTATCATCTGTGTGTACTTGCATTGCATGCCATGTAAACAGAAGTTACCAGACATGGCTCCTAATGCTGAAAAGCTGTTACGTTGGTTTTCTTATCCAGTGATCAACAATTAAGTATCAGAAAAAATTGAGAAGAAAATACAGAGAATAAGACTATCTTCTAAGCGGCTATTTCTTCAGGTCCATCATTTATACTTTACCTTTTCCTTGACTGCTGGTATATTTTTGGTGAGATCTAAAAAATCCTTCCTTTAATAGCCATTTGAATGGACTTGGTTAAAATCATTACATCTTTGGCTAAAAATCCGACCAACTATCATTTCTCAGAGAGCTCTAAATGATGGGTGATGCCAGTGCAACAGGAGGCATGGAAGGATGTGAAGAATGGAAATGGGAGGTTGTGGTGGCTTCCTCGACATCCTTGACTGCCTTGGCAGTGACATCTAGGACAGTAGTCAGGCTTGGGGCAAGGCCCAGACAGAAGCCACTGAGTTTGCAGAGGCCAGGAGAACAAGGAGTGAGCCCTGTCACAAAGCTGTACTTAGTCCAGAACCTGGAGATCAAGTCCCTACTACAGGAGATATCTTTCTCCTCCCTACCTATCAAGGAGTTGGAGATCATTGACTTTCCTTTGAGAGCATCCCCCAAGGAAGAGGTTTTGAAGATTACACCAGTGTAAAAGTCCACACATACTGGCCAGCAGACCAGGCTCAAGGCATTTATTGCCACTGGTGATTACGATGGCCAGGTTAGCCTGGGTATGAAGTGCTCTAAGGAGGTAGCCACTGTCATCCAAGGGACAGTCATCCTGGCCAAGCTCTCCATTGTGTTTGTGTGGTGAGGTTACTGGGGGGAAGGGAAGGAACAAGATGGGCAAACCTCACATTGTATTTTGCAAAATGACTATGCTCAGTGGCTCTATGCTGGTATGCCTTGTCCCTGGTACCCAAAGTCATTGGTATCATGCTAGCTCCTGTCACCAAGAAGCTGCTGCTGGCAGCTGGCATTGACGATGTCCACACCTCAGCCAGGGGTGCTGCAGTGCCACCTAGAAAACATTGCCAAGGCCACCCATGCTGCTATCCCCAAGATCTGCATCTATCTGACCCCCAATCTCTTGAAAGAGACCATGTTGTGCAACTCTGCAACTCTCAGGATTTCATCTTGTAAACAAACCACAGTGTCTGTGTTCAGGACCCATACTCCAGCATTGCCTAAAACTTAAGGTTTTATACAAGAAAAATAAAGTGACTTAAGCCTGCTTTTTTTTTTTTAAATTGACTAGATATTGTTTTCTTTTTTTTTTTTTCTTCTAATAAACCTGCCTGGAAGACTAATACCAAGTCCTTGGATTTTGCTGCAGATAAAGATTCCTGATTAAGAATGCCTGGAAAAGGCAGCTATTCTATCTTGACAATACAAATGGAAGTATAAACAAGAAGCTTTGGTGGATCAACCTGAGACTTAATGATTTTTTAAATTTTATTTATAAAGCTATATATATATTTTTTAATTTATTTAAAAGCAAGAATTACAGAAAGAGACAGGGAGAGACAGAGGAGAGATCCTCCATTTGGTGGCTCACTGCCCAAATGGCCGCAACTGCCAGGGCTGAGCTAGATCAAAATTAGAAATGAGGAGCTTCATCTTGGTTTCCCACTTGGGTGTAGGGTGCCAAGTACTTAGATCATTCTCTGTTGCTTTCCCAGGTGCATTAGCAAGGAGTTGGATCGGGGGTGAAGCCAGGATGCCAGAAATACAGGCAGCAATTTAGCCCTGCCTTTGTGATTTCACACACACAATATTTCATGACAGTATAAGTTTCATTAAGCCATGAACTGGAGTAATATTTCTTTTAAATGAACTAAAGGAGAGCAGAGTTGTTTGGGAACTATTCTTAATAGAGGGTAGTTGATAAATTGCTGGACAGTCACTTAATAAGGAGTATTTGATACATTGCCTGAAGACTAACTTCTTTATTTTTTTTAATAATCTTACTTAATTGATTAGGGTACAAAGGGTCAAGGGCCACAAGAAAGTATGTAATGCCATTGTTTCCACACTACTTTTTTCCCCTGTATCTGGGGTCAGGGGAAGAACAAAGGGAAAAACCCCACCCAGCCTCCCACCCATCCCAAGTTCCCAATGTGAGGCATGCTCTGACGGTCCTGCTCAAGCAGTTTTGATAGTTCAACAGTTCTGAATTGTTGCCAATCTCGCCACTCCAAGTGCAATGAAATCTATTCAGAATCCACTGCCTGACATAGACTCTTCATGGTTGGGGTTCTGATATGAGCAGTTCAATTGGAGGGGTCTCCAAAGAAACTTCATCTGAGGTGATCCCAGACCTGATTCTTGTGTGTGCTTGCCAGTACAGGGTCTGGCACAGTCTGTCGCCCCAATCAGCTTAAGCACATGCTGGTCACTGCAATTGCTGGGTTATTTCTGTTTCCAGCCCTGTCTTCCACGCGAACAAATTGATGCTGCAGTCCAACCTGATCCTGCCCACTTCATACTCGGTCCTCACACAAACCAGTGGGAGCTGAAGCTTAGTTGAGGTGACTCGCCATAACCCCACCAAGCCTGCCCCTACTCTGGTTCCCATGCCTGCCAGTATGTGTGGCAGACTAGTCCAGTCTGTCCCACATCCCATTTAGCTCTCATACATGTCAATGGACATTGAAGTCTAATTCAACCCAACCAACCTTACTATCCAGCCCACACACATTCTGTTGGGTACCTTTCTGTCTAGCCGTCCCTGCCCCTGTCCTGGTTTTCATGCTCTCCAGTGGGAGTAGTAACCCAAGAGAGAGGTGCCCACTATTTGCCTCCTAGACCACTTTCTCTCCCGGATTATGCACTCTCCAGGGGGCTCTGGGGTTTAACTTGACAGATTAAGCCACCACTGCCAGCTGATGCTCCAGCAAAGCCAACCAACCCTCACCCATCTTAATTTCTGTTTGTACCAGTCGAAACAGTCAGCCCAGCCTGGCTTTTCCCTGATCTAGCTCACATGAGGCCCACAGGTATTGTAGCCCTGCCTGGTTTGGCCCGCCTCAATCCCAACTCACACTCTCCAGTGGGAGTGGTTGTCCAGCAGGGGAGCTCACATTCCCCCTGGCAGCTTTGTGCCCTCCCTCCCTGGTTCTCACGTGTGCTGGTTGGGCACTGCGACCACATCTGCTACAACTCATCTCACCTTGACATTCCATAATGTGCACTAGTTTGTGTCGCGACCATACCTGGCCTGACCCACACTCTATTCTGGTGCTCATATTCACCAGTGGGTGAAGTGAATTGGTTCGGCCTGGTCTGCCCCCTAACTAGGCCAAAAGTATATTGGTGGGTACCTTTCCCTGGCCTGTTCTGGGCTTCTCTCTACTGTGGTTCTTGCGCTCACCTGTAGGGACTGCATCCTGACAGAGGAGTTTCCCAAGCTCCTCCATCAGAACCTCTCCCAATGCCAGATCTTGCACGTACTGGTGGTTCCATGGGCCAGCCCCCGTTGCTGGCCTTCAATCCATTCCAGTTTTTGATGTTGGATGTTTCAGCCCAGCTAAGGCTCGTCCATACCCAGACATCACATATGGGTCAGTAGGGGCAGAAACCTAGCCTAGTCTGTCTTACATCTACTCTGGTCCCCCAGAGTACCAGATGGTGTTGGCATCTAGCATGGCCCATTGCACCTAGCCCCAGTCCACATTTGTGCCAAGGAAGATTGCAGCCATATCCAGACCAGAGCACAGCCCCAACTCCAGCCCCTGCCCTCTCCTGTGGAAACCCCAACCCAGCAAGGGTGTACTCTCACAGCTCCCAAACTGAGTCTATTCCCAGCCCTAGACTATGTGCATGCCAGTGGTTGCTCAGACCCAGTTGGCTTAGCCTCTCACCTTTCTTGGCCTTTGCCATCAATGCTATGGCCTAGTGTCCCTGGCTCATGCAGACCAGTCGGTGTAAGAGCCCAGTTTGGCATGACCTGTGCTCCGTCTTGATTTC